CATGGACTTTTATAAGGTCACTTTAGTCCTACCAAAGCCACTATAGCTGACCAAATGCTATTACTTTTCTACCCAAGCCTTTTTTTATTGCTTTGTATTGATCCTATAGTGCAAACATGCTACACCTTCCATCCGTACTCTCATTTAAGTTAAATGCCATTGTGTGCTTGTAAGTCTTGCAGTATATTGGCTGTTTTCATACAGCCAGCTGTTGACCTTAAATTGCATTTGTGCTTCTTTGGAAAGATCACTGTGGTCTTTTGCTCAAACGCCTCTTGTTTTTAAAGGCCATGTCAGAGTTTTGTTAAGTCTGCATCATAGACAGTGTATAAGACAAAGAAGTCAAGTTGGTTTCCCAATCCTTCTGATTTAGTTAAACATGACAAAATGACAGTGTGCTTACAGTGAACGTTAAGGCTTTGAATTTAAAGGAGCAAAATGGAATTCAGCCATTATTGATTCCATTTTGCTCACACCTGTGCTCCTCATGCTGTGCCATGTCAAAAGTGTTTTCAGTGTTTCACCGCCTGTTTAAACCTCCTCTGCTCCGACTGAGACTTTGTGTCAAAGCTTTGTGAATATTTCAGGGCTTTGAGGGAGAGAGCGTAGCTTTTTGTGTCTCTTTTGAGGAACCCACCCACTCGAAGCAGGCAATGAAAGCAGCTTGGTAGATATGAAATATCTGCAACCTGGATAGGAAAGATTAAAAACATTATATTATACTATTAATAATAAACCCTACTGATGAGTCGGTACATTTGATATAAGCTTTTAATAAGGAATAAAAAGAAAAAAGGCATTATTTTAACGGAAAACATTTTTAGTATTTTAATAGTAATATCTTGGTGTGTTTTCACTGACTTGAAGTAAATGGGTAGTTTATTTTACTTTATTTTCAAATCAGCACATTATATATCAACAATTTTTTCTTCTCCGTTCAACATCAAACGCCACAATGGCTATTTATATTCTAACTTATTGGAATTAAGGCATTATATTTTATTGAAATAATAATTCATAATCATCAACATCATCAAGTATTACAATTAGAATTAAAATTAGAAAAATTAGAAGCAAATAAGTGCAAAGAGAATCATTTTTTGAAATTCAAATAAATTATAAAATAATTAGGTATAATAATTAATTCCCCCAAACAAGAAAAATACTGAAAAAAATGACACTCAAATAAGCCATTATTTGTAGCCTTAGAAACAGAATTGTAAGTAGAAATTAAACATGACTTCAATGCAGTTGCCATCTGTTCTTCTCCTTTCTCCAAAGAAGCTGTTAGATCATGTTTGATGAGAATTTCCTTCTTTAGTCTTTAGTACTTTTGCTCAGTGTTAGTATCTTTAAGTGCACAAAAAAAAGTCAACAGACCTCGTGTCCAGGTGTTCACGTGTGAGCTGCATCAGCACGAGTAATAAAAACAGGCGGCACAGCTATTCTTAAATACCCCTGGAACTATCATTTTTAATTACAGTCTAACCATAATATTGTGTTAATCACCTCTTTTTGTCAGCACTGCTCTGGAATGAAGCCGCTCTGACTACTATATATTTATATGTTCTCATTTTTATCTTTCTTGTATTCTTACCTTTTATTCTTGCTACGGCCATCAAGGAGTCAATATTAGGATAATATGTTGTGCTACTATAAATGCTACACTATGCTATATTTATTGTATTGGTTCATGTCAATCTTTTATGGTTTGATTTTTAACCACAAGACCTCAGGGCCTGAGAAATGAGTTGCAATTATAAAGGAAGCAGATTTTGACCGTTTGTGATTGAAAATTTGGATTAGTTCCCGATGGTTGATGGTTAGTTATTACATCATTACCAGTTAAGGAATCATTAAGTGAACTATGGTTTGCAAAGCAGACAAAATTGTTGAGCAAATGAGTTGTCAATCTGATGTGATTGATGTCTGGCTCATTTAGATTAGAATCATCACACAAACCATAAATGGCCAAAATGTGCTCCAATTAAACTTGTCCCCAGCGCTACAAAAGCCCCATCTAAGCTGAGGGTCCTCTTACATTGTACCAAGCTGCACGTAACATATCCCTTCAATCGCCGCTCAACCATGGAAGCCGACAATAGCCAGAAAAATAATACTGGGATGTTGGATTGTGACACTCGATGGTCTATGTGTTGGTACTAGGATTATCCCTGCAGCAGCCAGTATCCAGTGAAGCCAGCTTTACAGTATTCTGTAAACAGCACCTGCCACAGCACTGATCACAGCGGGTTTGTGGCTCTTCCATGCACAGACACTGATGTTTCCAGAAAAGGCTGGAAGAAATTCATATTCAAAGATGTGCTAATTGTATTGTTACTGGGGTTAAATGAGGTTTTGTCTTTATTTGGCGATTTAAAGAGTAATTTTCACCTTGTGAATTCTTGACAATTTTCTTTTTTATACATACAGATAAAACGTTAAAAGTTAAAAAAAGAAAGAGTGCCACTAATGACCTTATTGTCAGTGGATTTGTATGCAAAACCTTTCATTTTTGTCTGTCTCTCTTGGGAGCAGGGCAGAAGTCTGCCAGAAGGTGTAATAAGGTCTTTGGTGGGGTTCTGGTTACTCAGGAGCCAAACTGGGCTGACTCATCTTCATCCGGGAGGCGAGACGCCAGACACTGAAGAGGTGTTTGTCAGTGAGGGTGGAGGAAAAAAAAAAACAAAACAAAAAACCAGCATGCAGGCATCTTGCTAGCATCTTTTATTTAATGACATCAGCCCGTCTGGTCTACAGTCTGTCTGATTACCTTATTGATACTGTAGACTTACTGGTTATCGGATTTGAAAGCAGTCTGGCTTCCTTAAGAGACAATAGCTGTGTAGGCTGGAAAACATGCTGGACAATAATGTAGGTGTCCTTCAATGTCTATCCAATTATTTCCTTAAAAAGTTTACAAAGTTTGGAATTGAATTTGTCCTTCAAAATGAAGTACAAAAATGAAGAATTAACTGTCGTGAATACCTTCTACACAGTAAGTATGCAAGAAAAATAGTGGAGTTCAACCAAAGCAAGGACAGCCTTTGACGTCAGAAATATGAATATGAAGTCAATAGCTGTGACTAGAAATTAGCAAAATCACAAGAGTTCCTGATTAAATTCCACCTCCTGACTGAAACTTACAGATAGGTTCTTTGATTTTTGTCTCTTTTTTTAAAGAATTTCTAGGGGAAGGAAGTCAGAAGGGTTGTTTTTATGCATGACTTGATGGGGAAAAAAATCATATTTTATTTTGAGCAAAAGAAGTTTTATATTTTTTTACACATCTTTTTCACTCTTAAAAACGTGAAACACCCTTAAATATTGTTTTAAATGACCTTTTGAATATGTTTTGTTTTGTTAAAAAAAGTGTCAACCATCCAAATATTAATCACAGCAGAGCTAATGCTGTGACATTTTAAGCAATTATTCCTCAACAAGTGCTTGAACATGAAGTGGCGTTTTCGATCAATCTAACACAAGCTTTTGCAAATTTGTTGCACATTTTCACCACTAAGAATGACTTGAAAGGCTCCTCAGGTTAATGAGTATTTGGAGAGGTACCAACCCATAGACATGTGGTGTATGTCTGAGGAGCCTCTAGCAGTGAACTGGGATAGGAATACTTAGCCAAAATCCCAAAATGTCTCGGGGGCTACAACACCGCCAGAAGCTCGTTAGCTGATACAATGCCTGTCTACATAAACATGGAGCGAGGCTGAAGATTTGTGTGACAAAAGCATCTGTTTGGGTGTGAGCTGCCGTTGCCATGGTTAGGTTCAGTGTCGATGACAGTGAGAGCCGTTACAATAATGTCTGCAACACATCATTTTATAGATGGATCTGTTTCCCTTTCACTGAGTCAAGACCTTCTAATGAGGTACATCACAGACAAAAGACAGATGTATTCGTGCAGGACTGATGATGATTTTGTTACAGTCCTTGACTCGCTGTTTGATGAAGGTTGAAGACCTTAAACATCATGTTTTATTTTTCTTCTCTTTGTCGCTAAATCATTGTTACTCATCTGCTTGAAATGAACTGTCAGTTACAGACACGGTGCATGAAGTAATTAAACCCAGGATAAGTGGGGCATCACATTTTTTAATGAGTCTAGAAGGATCCATATAGCCGTGTGAGAGAGAGAGAGAGAAAGAGAGAGAGAGACTGAAAATGCTTGTACTTCAAATTGACAATCTTTTTTTTTTTTTGGTCACTTTTATTATGAGTTTTTTTTTTAGTTAAATTTAATGACATTTGATTTTAATCCACTAGCATATCCATTAGCACGGTTATTTTTTCCAATATTCTTTCAAACAGTAAACAACCATTATAGATTAGCATCATGTTTTTTAAAGGGAAACAAAACTGACTGTAAGTGTAGTCTTTAATACTCGCAGTGTAATGTAATATTCTCTCAGGATATTTTGTTTTTGAGCTCCACATATTCCAACTGTTCATCCATTTTTAATGGCTTTATATTGTAAAGTGTCGCAGGGGAAGCTGGAGCCAATCCCAGCTGTCATCGGGAAAACGGGCCACTGTACTGATTCTATTCCATGCACATGGTTTCCACAGTGTGAGGAGTGAATTGTGAAATGAAGGCTGATTGTGGAGATTTAAAACAACTGTGGTGACTTGGAATATTGTTTTACAGTTGCTGCCATGAAAAAAAACAAATACATTCAAGTAAGGTAACTGCGAGTTGGCGGTTTCTGAATGAGATATTTAAACACTTTCATAACACACAAATAGAAATACAGTTTGTAAAGATGTATAAGTATTTTCATTTGTGTACTTTCCAATACCAAGTATCGCCACCAATACATATTTTGCTTGGGTTTTATATATGCAATGAACTGTTAAAGGCAGCATATCTATAAATGCCTACTGAATAAAGAAATATCAGGATCACTTCTGCATTTTAGTTGTGATACTGTACACAATTTTTATAATGCTTTCATAACCAGATTTTTCTATTTTGTGTTTTACTCTAGCAATGCCAGTGCCAGAGCAGCCTGTTGAGCAGGAGAAGGGGGCCATGGTCCCCCCGGTGATGCCAGCCGCCAGTGTAGACAGATCTGAGACAGAGACGACCTCTTCCATCCTCGCCTCGGTCAAAGAGCAGGTAGGAAACCTGTAATGTGTTTACGCTAACAAGGACGCTCACATTTCTGCACTTCTATTACAAGGAGAATCAGGATAGTTATCACTGTTTTCACAAATTGAGCCACTCTCCCCCGTTTTTAAGTGTTTAAGGGAAACTGGAGAGCGATTGCTACCGTGGGAATGCAGGAGTGTAATGGATGGAAATGACGGAGATTATGGGCTGAGAGCTGTAGCCAAGATAGTATAATTGAAACAGTCATTAAAATCAGGCCAATTACTTGATGGAGAGTGTTGGAAGGTAGCTGCAGCGCTGATGTGGACTATTGTTAGTTCAGCAAGAGGGAAGAAAAGGAACCGAGGCAAAAGGGCTGAAAGGGAGCAGATGCCACAGTCAGGAGGGACATGTTTGGGGACAAAGACAAAATCAACACCTTTTACCTCATATTAAACTTAGGGCTGTGAAAAGAAGGGGGAAGTGGACAATATAAGGTAAAGTGGTGGTATGGCTTTGACTGTGTGTGTGCATGAGTGAGTTTGATAGAGAAAATGGTTCCACCATCACTGGTAATTATAGGGGTTGTGTATGTGCACAGTTAAGTCAGTTGACTTCTGTGTGTTCGTCCAAAGGATATGTGACAAAGAAGCCTAACAGATGAAATTGCACACTTCTCATTCAGCCTAGCAAAACAAAAACACTATTCAATTTGTTTTGCTTTGGACTCATTTTCTCTGCCATTGCAGTTTAGCTGTTCGGCAAATGCAATACACCATAGATTTATTATTTGCTCAGACACTCAGTCTCTGAATCTCATCTAATTCCCCATGTCTCCTAATACCACAATATGCTGTGTATTTCATCTATTCTCCCGTAATGAAGGACAAATGCTGATTGCACTTTGAGTGTTTTCTCACAGGGAAATTAAATTTATTTCATTTATATTTATTCCCCCATCAAAGGACTTTGCGCATTACTGAAATAATGGACCAGAACTTTTCTAAAAGAAAATGGCTACTCTTAATTTCTGCAGAGAACAAACAAACAAAAAAAGAAACACCCTGAGTTGAAATTGTTTGATTAACAAATTAAATTAAAATCCTTGTTCAGTCAGCAGAAGGAGTCAAGTGTGTTGGATTTTTGCAAGAGTTTTGCTGTAAAACATCCTGTCAGCCACTAATATAGCAGCACAGAGCCACAACCAATGGCATGCAGCCACGGTGATCCACATTTCGCAACATTACAAAGTAGTGCACGTGAGAAATACCTGCCACACTAAATTATATTTTCCTGACGGCACTTTGACAGCCCAATATTTCATTACACAAAAGGGCTGCAGAAAACCAGCTTTTCTTGAATTCCTACTGCAGTAGAAATAAAGATCCAGCTAACCTCTGTGTCAGACACAGGGGAAATCAAAGGATCTTGGGTGAAGTCTTCTTTGGAAAAATAAAAAAAAATGTTTCTCCAGGTGCTCAGTTAGAGCTAAATGGAGATCAGCAGTGAGGAAAGTGGATGTATATATTTGCCAGTGCTACTCACAACCAAAGACTGCACTTAAGAAATGAATCTAGACGTTAAATATGAGGAATTTTAAGGTTGAATTTCAACATAAATAGTTTTTTTAGCTTATAGTCTCTTGTTTAATGGAACTGGAGTTCAGTTGTTGTATGAATAGAAAACGACAATAGTTGATTTCATGTCTTCAGTTGGAGAAAAATGAACAGATCAAATTAACTTCACAGTTTATAGTGTAGATGTTTACCATTGAATCTAAGTTTGATTAGGTTTCCTTGCAACACACATAGTACTTAATAATAAATATATTATATATATTTATTGTGCTCACATGTGTACATGTGTATATGTATATATGTACACACAGTATATAAATATATATACACGTGTATATGTATGTATGTATATATATATATATATACATACATACATACATATATATATATATATATATATGTATGTATATAACATACCTATGTGTGTCTGTTAGTATTGAATACCAGGATGTTGCCCTTAGTGGCCAAAACTATGGCTCTTATTTGTGTGTCCGTGTGTGTAAGATAAGTCATACTGAGACGTCACGGTCGGACTTGATCAGCTTTAATTTTCTACCTGTTAGTCTACCCTTCTGGAACATGTGAAGGTTGTGGCAGCAGTGGCTGCTTCCTTACAACAAAATGACAAGTGAACTATTTTTGATGTCTTTACTGCTGCAGTCAAATACTGGAAAATAAAATGTGTCAAATAGAAAGTGTTATAGCCGTCACTGATGATGACTTCGGGGGAAAAAAGATTATTAACTGTCAGAGATAAAGATTCAGAGAACAGCATGGCTGTGCTTCGGGACTCACTCTGTAGAGTTATTCAGCTAAGCGCCTACTAGTGGTCACTGTGAAAGTTAACCATCCACCGGTGTCTACCCAAACTTTTACCAAAAGGCAGAATGCTTATGTAATCCAGGCTGAGAAATGTAGTTGTACGTCACACTGTTCCGTCCTCTAGGGGACAGTGTGGTGCAGAACAGTCAGACCTGCTAAACCCGAAAATAAAATGGTTTATAACTGACTGAGAAAATCCCATTTGCATGACTTCACCTTCTTAAATCTTTATATTTAGAAACTAATTATTCTTTATGTAGCGTGTAAATACAAAGAAAATTAAATATCAACATAACATTTGTAAACTCTTGCTATTCCCCGATGGCAAATCAATTTCCTTTTCTTTTGTTTAATTTTCCACCTATGGTGTTGAGGTTCTGAAGAACTGTGTTGCAACATGTCTAAAGCTGCCTCCATGGGGCTCCACAGAGACTAATTTATTCAGCTCTCCTTGATTTACAATTTACCACTTTTCTGTGAATGTTTCTTTTTGTTTCTGGAGTTGTTTTGACCCTGTTTTCACAAATATGCCCTTGTGATTTATTCTTTTATTGTGCAGATTTGCCCTATTCACTCCAGCTATAAGAGTACTATAATATAATATTCTATACTGACAAAACCAAATAGATTAATTAAGCTCCAATTGGTAGATTAGAGTCATTCAGTGACATGACCTTGTGAAAAATTCTGCAGAAACAAAATATAAAATACTTTTTGTACATTTTAAATGTATTTGTTATAGAAATTGGTAATAAATCTACTTTGTACTAATGAGTTTTTACTATTATTGTCATTATTGTTGTACAGAGCCTCTGTCATTACCTTTATCTCGGCCCAATTATTGACTGCAGCCTGTTATAGTGTTTACAAAAAAAGCAATTTTAGGTCCACTGGTTTTATTAAGAAGTCAAATTACCACTGATTACATTATTGTTTAAGGCTTGAGAGTCAAACATTTAACAAAGAGTGGCAATGGTCATTATTGATTTTCTTTTTTTTTACAGGTAATTAATTGTATTTAACATCTACTTCATTAGTAACGTGGTCTATAACTACAGGAACTTGTAGAAAAGCCTTGTGTTCTTGAACTTTAATAATCACACTTTTATATTCATACTGTAAAACTTAGTACAGTGATTAACTAAATACAAAGATTTAAGACTGCACTAAATCATAAATCCTAAAAAAGGCATTTTACCAAAAATCCATTGAAACAAATATAAACTACTTCAATCATTGACCTAAATCCTGATTTCAGACTTTGGAAAACTTGAATTTAAATTGCGATTTTTAATTTTTAATTATCTTTTCTAATATTCTGTAATTTCCCTCTGCCTGCTGATGGTCGTTTTTGCTTTTATTTTATTTTTTTTGTTTTTTGTCTTGCTGCATGTGAGTGTCAGCAAAACCCCCTGAGTTTTCAAGGGTTCATGACTGTTGGAGGGTTTCTGTAGGTGAAAGGAATACGGTCTCGCTCTGAGCGGAGAGAGGCATATATATTCCCTCCTCCATCCTGGCAGTTTTTCTTCAGCTTTTTTTTTTTCTTGCTGGAGTTTGAGTGCACTTGATTGGCCTTTAGAGTGAACTGAAAACTTTCTCTTATATGACTATTGACTCCGCAGCACTTAAACAACTTGCTTTGTGTTATCCTAATGGATGTCTGCAGAAGAGGTGATTGAATGTGTGTTGACGGTTGATTCAGACTCCACCAGACTGAGATGTGCTAAATTGCGCTTGTGAATGTCATTTGTGCTTTGCTTCATAGTCTTCTCTGCTTCTCTGCCCCCTTTAATGTCCCCTCTTTATTGATACCCTGTCTATGGCTGTAGCTGTGTTGGGCGTTGACAGCCGAGCAAATTATCAATATGAAATTCCAAATATCGTGGTGACAGGTGTTGGACATCTTATCTTTGCAAGTCAATTGCAACAAGATGAGGAAATTAGTTAGAATGACCCAGGAAACAATGTCTCGTCAAGCAGGGAAACACAGTGCAAGGTCAGTGTGCCGACAAGATTGGTTGTTGATCAGACATTATACTCAAAAACAATGGCAATAACTGTAATCTGTACTGACAACAGAAGAGTGGAGAGCTTGTTTGTTCCAGGTCACCACAGATGACAACAAGAACTGGTCATCATGGGCTTTTAAATATTTTCAGTGTTTAATCTGCAACACAAATTCATATAAGGGTAGATTCATACATATTTGCTGCGAAACCCAGAAAAGAACAGCTCTGTCAATAAATAATGCAGCTTTGGCCACTATGGAAAGAGCATCTGCTGGACTTGGTGTGAAAAAGAATTCTATAATTTGCATGAAAAATGCACGAAATGTGCAAAGTCCTCCATGATCATAGATGAGAAATTAAACCTCTCAAACCCTCCCAATTATCAGATGTAGCTGCATGTCATTCCTGAAAATACTACGTTACCCACGAGACAG